GGGGGGGGGGGGGTCGAGCCCACATTCAAATGGATATTTTGTACAGAAAATATTTCAGCTCAGCGCCCAGCAATGTGTGTAATAATGCCAGGCTGGAATGAGCCAGGGCTCTGGGCATATGCCCTGCCAGGGCAGCCGGCTTCCTCCTTGAGGCTTCTTTTGAGATGCTCTGCTTCTGCAGTGGGGAAAGAGGACCTGCTCGCCTCCTCTGCTCTTGGGACAGACCTCCCCAAGCAACACTGCACCCTCTCCTGTGCCAGCAAAAACTATCTGCTGGAAATCAGGTAAAATCCCTTAAGAAGGGAGAGGGAATCTCCTCCTTAATTCCGCTTGATAAGAGCCTGCCAAATGCATGACACGATGCCATGCGGAGTAGAGACCTGGGCAATAGAATACAAAGCCGCCACGTACCTGGGTCTGATCTGAATGCCTGGATCTGCAGGACAGATCTTCAGACAAGAGGATTAAATCAGTGAAACCAATGCGGAGGCAGCACATAGGTGTGTATACGCGCACATACCCCTGCTGTAGGTGGCATTGTAACCGTGTGTGCAGAGCTGGCTGTGACTACACACCTAGCCGGTGGTTCGGCAGAGCTAGGGGAAACTTTATCCCCAAATTATCATTGTGATGAGGAGAAATGAGCCTTCTTGACTCTGTTCTGCTGCTTTCTGGTTCTGAGGACCTCTGCTTCTTTTAGCAGGTGCCCATGGCCCGGAGATCAGTGCTTGACCTCTCTGCCCCGGGCGGGACAGAGGGAAATAATTACCCACAGAACCAGGGACCCTCATCCTTTACTAACTCCAGTATAAACCTCCTTTCAGACGAGTGTGGGGCAAAAGACACCAGATGCAGGTGATCATGACTTTTATCCACAAATCCTGCTGTGCAGGGAAAGGCAGAGGCGTACCTGCCTCCTGCAGGGAGAGCTGCCTCGAGAAGGGGAGAAGAGCTCGCGTTTGGGGGAATAGGTTTGGCAAAACGGTCAATGCATCAGGGACATTAAATAGATCCGCTCCATGCCAGGGACACAGGCCTCTTTAAAACACCTACATGGTTTAAAACAAACAAACCAAGCAGTAAAAAGAGGAGCATTTCAAGGTCATGGCCATGTCCGTCCAAGGGGATTAGTGCACACCCTTGAAGGAAAAGCTCAATAGCCCAAACTTTTCCCTCCGAGGCTAAGCTGGGAATTTGGGCCTCTTGAATATTGCCTGCTTCTTGCGGACCTGGTGATTGTTCCTGCCAAGGTCATCAGGCGAAGGCGAAGGCACTGCCGCAGCGAAGGGGTCTGGATGGAGGAAGCTGGCTGGACCTCTGCAACTTTTATCCCAGACCATGACTTCCTGCTCCCCCCTTCACAGCCCGGAGGGTCCAGCTGTTCTGCCCTCGGATAGCCCAGAAAAAAAGGCTTTTTGGACGTGGGCAGCGAGGCAGGCACGTCTCCGCCGACAGGCAGACCTCGGGGACTCGGGACCAGGGGGAGAACATCACAAACACAAATGCAGTTCTGGACATTGCTGTCCCCCCCCCCCCCCCCCTTGCCCCTTAAATTATCTCCTGTAATTACAGCAGGGACTGGAAATCTGAGCCTGGCCGCCCCGTTTGTAACATGTCTTTCCCCATCACATCCCGAGGCAACCTGCATCCTTCCAGGCTCAAATCCATGCCCCTCATTTAGGTTGGTTTCTGTTTTACACCTAGTCGTATTTTCTCAGCTGTGGCTAGGAAAGCTGTAGCCCACAATCCCTAGCCCAGGACATCTGTGTGCTGGCTTGCGACCCGCAGAGAGCCAGAGGAAGGGCGTGCAAGCGCCCCTGAACCTGCACAGGGAGACGTGATGGCAACAGAAACTTAGCAATCAAATACGCGAGAAAAAGTTAAAGAGTGATGGCACTGTACCTTGCCCCTGGGTAACTCAGATGCGCGCCTCCCATTTTGGACATGGTGAAGGGTTTTGGTGGGTGTTGTTTGCATTTGGGTTGGTTTGTCTATATAAGCCCTGCTCGTGTACTGTACAGAGAAACGCCCGTTGATGGACTACAGTGTTAATTAACGCAGTGCTAATTTGAGTAAGAGGAAATGGAGGTGGAACTAGGTGCAGCCGGACCGCGATGGGCCAGTGACCTCTAGTGGAGAATCGAGGACATGCAGGGCGCGGGAGCCAGCGGGCGAGCAGCAAGCAGCAGCCACTAGTGTCACCCCCACCCTCCTCTCGGACCTGTACCCCGGGTACAAATGTGTGGGCAGTGACCCAGGGGGGAGCAATTCAACTGAGGCAGGCACCAGTGCTGAAGAGGAGCTTTAAATTCCAGTGTCTTGATCTAGCCGCAGTGTGTGTGTGTGTGTGTGGGGGGGGTATTCCTAATTAATTACTTATTTAATTATTATTATGAAAATCAGATGATTGACTTTTTTTTGCGGCGGGGGGGGGGGGGGGGGGGGAGGAGGAATGGCCGGGGCACAGACGATTAGGAACTTGTTTGGGACCACTCAAAAAGTGTGAATGCACCATAGGGTCATGCTTACAGCAATGCAAGCACACAGGTCTTCTAGAAACACGATCCAAAATGCAGTCAGAGAGAGATCATACGTAGCGGCCTTTTTATTAGTATTATTATTTTAGTTTCAAATCCATACTTGAAGAAACAAGCAAAAAAAACAAAAGGCAGGAGACAACCACACGCGTGCAGCTAGCAAAGGCTATTGAAATGCAAACACCTCTGTGTCTTCACCCTGCTCCTGTTTTTTT